ATTGGAGGAGGATTTGGGTCAGGAGGAGGCGGATTTGGGGGAATAGGAGGTTGTTATGGAGGTGGTGGATACAGTGGAGGTGGTGGATACAGTGGAGGTGGTGGATACAGTGGAGGTGGTGGATACAGTGGAGGTGGTGGGTATAGTGGAGGTGGATTCAGTGGCTTCGGGGGCAGCGGGGGCTTCGGTGGTGGTGGCAGCTATGGTGGAGGAGGTTTTGGTGGGATAGGGTTCGGGGAGGACTCCGGATTGCTCTCCACGAACGAGAAGCTGACCATGCAGAACCTCAACGATCGCCTGGCTTCTTACATGGATAAAGTGCGACGCTTGGAGGAAGAAAATGCTCAACTGGAGCGGCTGATCAGGGAGTGGTACCAAAGTCAAGGTCCCTCTCAGGGCAGGGACTACAGCCAATATTACAGGACAATTGAAGAGCTGCAAAACCAGGTATGATGTACTTTGACTAACTCTGGAATGGCACTTGCTCCTGCAGCAGAAGGTCCTGGTTTGGGGTGATATTCCCCCTCCTGTGCTTTGGCCAGGAAGCAGAGCCGTGTGGGGACCAAGCCTGGCTGCCAGTTTTCCTGTGTGTGTTCTGGCACAGGTGTATTTGGTGCAGGTGGCATCGCTGGGGGCAGTGGCAGATCAGCACCAGTGTCCCCATCGCGGGGCCTGTCTCGTGCTCCCTTCCCCACTGGGCTGCTGCTTGCTCGTTCCTCACCCTCGGGAACAGCAGATGTAATCATTGCTTGGCTTGTGCTACTGCTGCCATAGTCATTGGCTATTTTTGTGAATACACAGGACGAGCAGCAGGTGCAGTTAGCCCCATTACAGCCCTCAGCCACTGAACAGTCCCATATCTCCTGCATGAACATGGCTGTTGCCAAAAGCAGTGGCAATTTTGCTTTCCCACTGGTTTTGAATATGAGGAGTTTATTTAGTTATTCTTTCTGACAACGTAATTTTAATGGATGTTTGTAAACCAAAATTGACAGTAAAGGCACTTTCTTTTATCTGGAAGCAATAAACTCTTCTCTCTCAGTAGCTCCTGCAGCACTAGTCAGGTCTGACGTGACCACAAAGCTGTTTTGCAAGGTGTTTGTGCACAGGAGTTCCTTCTCTGTGTGTGTCAGACTGAAAAGACAACTGTGGAATAACACCTGCCCTCTCCCTTTCAGATTGTTGGTGCAAATGTGGACCTGAACAGGATGCTTCTTGACATGGACAACACCAGAATGACTGTGGATGACTTCAGAATGAAGTGAGTGGTTCCCTTCCTGGCTCATTCCATCCTGCCTCCTTTTACCCCCATGGGTTTCCATTGCCAATTAATCTTTGTAGAGGCTGGAGCCTCTTGGCTCCGATGTCAGAATATGGAATTGTTGGGAAAAGCATTCTGAGAAGAATTGCTTTGGGTTTTCACTATTGGTTTTATTCAGACAAGTTCTTGAAGGACTCCAATCTAAGTTTCTCCATCCTTGCATGCTGATGTTAAGTATAATCCTCATGGAATAAATCTCACATAGAGAAACTGTACTGAAATCAAACAAACCTACTGGAGACAGAAAGAGAATTATGTCCTTTCTTTTAAGGATTGACAAATGGGATTAGAGACCAGAGATGTAGGATGGGAACTGCCCATGCTGGAGGTACCAAACAAAGAGGTCTGGCAGCACCTTTACTCTCTGTCTTGTCTGTTGTTCAGGTATGAGACTGAGTACAGTCTCCACCAGAGTGTGGCAAGTGATATCAATGGATTACGCCCATTTTTGGATCAGCTGACTCTAGCCAGATCTGACTTGGAGTCACAGTTTGAATCCCTAAAAGAGGAACTGATCTTCCTGAGGCAGAACCATGAAGAGGTAAGTTTCTCCACACTTAGTAACCACTGACAACACAACACTCAGAAAATTCCCGTGGATTTTTCCACCAGCAGTAACCAGGTTTTGGCCACTGGTTTTGATCATCCAACTTGACACAACCTGGCTTTGATTCTGAGGAGTGTGTAGTGTCCACAGCTGCCCACAGCTGATGTAATGAGACACGTGGGTCAATGCTTGGCAAAATGAGAACTGAGGAATGAGTGACTTTCAGTACAAAGTAAAATCTGGTTGCTGAAGTCATGGAAGGAAAATTGGATAGAATATACTGAGGAGTCAAAAGAAAGTATTTATACTCTCTGCAGTGAGATTTCCCACGGAGGAGAAAAGATTCCCACAAAGAGCACCCTGAACAGAATTCCTTATGACCCTCTGGAGGACACTTCAGGGTCACTGTGAAGTGTCACAGTGCCTGGCTGTGAGCACTGGAGCCTGAGGAATGGCTGAACTGTTCCATGGCAAGGGCAGACAGGCCCCCTTTGCAGGAGCCATGGGCTGTGTGAGGATCCGTGTCCCTCTCCTTCCCCTTATTTGAAACGACACCATTTCTCCTTAACCTTCACCCTTTGAGAACCTCATGGGGTCCTGTGGTTTTTTTCCAGGAAATGAAAGGACTTCGAACACAGTCCGGTGGGGATGTGAGCGTGGAGGTCAACGCCACTCCCGGCATTAACCTGATGGAGAAGCTGAATGAAATGCGCTTCGAGTACGAGAGGCTCATTGAGAACAACCGCAAGGAGGTGGAGAGCTGGTACGAAACCAAGGTAAAGCACGGGAGGTTTGAATATGGAATCGTTCACAAAGCACTGGGCCTCTCCACATCCAGCAGGCAAAAAGTGTTATTTAAGGGACACTAAATGACTTTAAGCAGTTTCCTGTAACAGGTCAGTCCTGGGGTATCAGGTTATGTGGTAAAGCACACGGAGCCTCTGTCTTCCAGCAGCCAGGAGAATTACACAGGGTGTTGGTACAGTGGCTTGTGGGAAGCAAAGAGTCTGCATTGCATCTTTATTCTTATTAATTGCTTTCTCAGTGCTTTTGTGATAACCATACAATGTCTTCTTGTTATCAAAAATGCCTCAATTTTGTATGTGCGTTTTTCAGATGGAAGAAGTTAATCAACAAGTCCACTCAAGTGGTCAGGAGATACAATCAAGCAACCAGCAGATCTCTGAGCTGAGACGTGAATATCAGAGCCTGGAGATTGAGCTGCAGTCGCAGATCAGCATGGTAAGGAAAGGCACTTGCTCCACCTGTGGCACAGTGTGTATGTGGGAAGAAGGGTTACACCCAGCAGGGTAAATCCATCTGAGGAGAATGAGATACTGGGTAACTTATCTGCAAAGACACACTTTTTTTCTGGTTTGTGAAGATCTCCTGTTTTTCCATGAAAATAAGTTAAAGTCNCAAAACAAACCCCTTCTGCAGAATTATACAGAAAACATAGATTTGTACCCATGTCAGCAGCTGGAAGAAACAGTTAAACAGGATGTAACCCAAAGGCTCCAAGAGCCAAAGCAGCTGGAAGTATAGAAGACAATTTTGTTTACTTGAGAGAAAAGGGTTTCTGGCTGTAATGAGCTAAAATTATCCCCCACACTCCATTAAATGTTGCAATGAACCATTTAAATTCCTACAGTCCAGGGGAGGTCTTGCTCCCACTTCAGAGATGAAGTGGAGCAGAAGATGGAACGTGAGGCGTGTCCTGCTGCGTGGGCCAGGGTGTGCTGGGAGGGGCCTTCACAAAAAGCTGTTTCCACAAACACTTGCTGCGAAGCCATAACAAACAAACAAACCTGTTGATCAGCAACAACCAACAGCACAACGGCCAAGCGAGAAAACAGTAATACCCCAAATCAATACAGGAAATTGGACATCACACAACGAGTTCCACCCACGAGGTGTGACAGGTAACAGACTGGGATTTGTCTGGCAGGAGGACGGGGTGAGAGGCACCCAGGGGAGAGGTGACACTGTCTGAGGCTCAAGGCACGGGGGGAGCTCACGAGCATTGGGCAAAGATACAATCTTGAAAGAAGAAGATGTAAGATGTGTCTGGGGGTGGAAAACAAATCTGAAGGGAAAATGTGATGCAGTTTATTGACTTAATCTCCAAATCAGAAACTTCACCTTTCTCCTCCAAGGATGTTTGTATTTGTGCTGCGTGGGGAAAACATCCTGATAAATTTGTGAATTCCCTTCGGGAGTGAGAACAGGACCTCTGACACTCCCAGGAATGTCAGGAGAGACCAGCCCGGAGCCAGGATGCTTTCCCAGGTGTCTCGGCCCTCCTGTACCTGCATTTGGTCCGAGCACATGAAGGGTTATTTCCAGAAACAACCTGCCACACTTCCATTCCTCACAGCCTGACACGGAGCTGTTCTGCAGTTGTTGTAACACCCTTTTTCATAATTAAATTGTTATTTATAAAACACAGTTGTAGAGGTGTGATTGGAATAATTGCTGACACGTGACATTTGCCAGTGTTCTCTGAGCTTTTACGAGATACTATAAAGAAGTCAGAGTGGTTCCTTGTACCTACAACTCACATCCTGGGATGGGCTTTCCAAAGGCATAAAGCAATCAAGGACTAAAAATAAGGAGCACACAGCAAAGAATAACCACAAATCTATGAAAATATCAGCTAACTATAAAACAATCAGCCAGTATTCCTTGACAAATATCTGAACATTAGAAGAGAGACGGGAACATCCACCACTGTCCCTTATTGTGGCAGAGTGTTGTTGTGTTGAGAGGGATGTGACCAGGACGAGGTGAGTGGGATGAGTTTCTTTGGGATGACTGTAAGTCAGTGCACTAGATCTCAGCAAAGATCTCCCCCACTCAGAGCCACCCAACAGAAATTACATGTTTTGTATGAATAAACAAATGGTCACAAACACTTAGAGGAAGGGTTAAGCTTCCTGACACTGCCAAGCATCTCCCTTTGGCAAATTAGGGCTTGCAAATGCACATGGAAAGCGGGTACTCCCTTCCACGGCGACACCCTCTGTCTCGGCTATAAATGCAGAGGAGGCCAGCTGGAATTTGGAGCTATGATTCCAGGACAACTGTAAGACCAGCTTTGAGTTTTCACCTGAGTTCTTTGCTGCTGCCAGGATGAGCTGTGGCTCGAAGCAGCCCCTGAAGAGCTGCCTGCGAGGGAGCAGCAGTGGCGGTGCCAGCAGTGGGGGAGGAGGAGGGGGCAGCTCGCATTCCTCGGCCTCCTCCAGGAGGATCTCCTCCAGGAGCAGCGGCGGTGGCAGGTTTTCTGGCAGCAGTTGTGGTGGAGGAAGCTCCCGGAGCAGCTGTGGTGGGGCAGCTGGTGGGTATGGGAGTATCAGGCGCAGCAGCTACGGAGGAGGGATGAGCAGCCACAGCTGTGGAGGAGGGATGGCTGCCGGATATTGTGGAGGGGGAATGGGAACGGGCTTCAGGTCAGGGGGGAGCGGGTTTGGTGCTGCTTGTGGAGGAGGCTTTGGTGGAGGTGGTGCTGGTTTCAGCGGTGGCAGCTTTGGCTTCCATGGAGGGAACGTGGGAATTCTCTCCTACGACGAGAAGCTGACCATGCAGAGCCTTAACGAGCGCCTGGCTTCCTACATGGAGACGGTCAGGAATCTGGAAACGGAAAATGCTCAGCTGGAACAATTAATCAGGGAGTGGTACCAGAAGCAAGGTCCTTCTGGCCCAAAGGACTACAGCCACTATTATGGACAAATTGAAGAACTTCAAAGCCAGGTAGGATGCTCTTTGCCAGAGGAGTTGAGGCACTGACAGGCTGAGAGGTTCTCAGGGAATGTTTGCCCAGCGCGTTGTTTCTCTTCTAGATCGTGACTGCGGCTGTGGACACCCACAAGGTACTTTTGGACCTGGATAACACGAGGATGACTGCAGAAGACTTTAGAGTAAAGTAAATATATATTCCTCTTTTCCAGCCACTGATTTCCTTCCTCCTGCTTTCCTGAACTTTATAAGTTAATTCCATAAGCAAATATCAATCCACAGGGACTTGGGTTCCTCCTGGTTCTATGGCAGCACAACTGAAATAATTTGTGAAACTTCAAAATTTTCAATATTTCTAGAATGATCTTTGGTGGGAATGCTGTCTCTGAACCAGATGGATGGACCCTGCACAAAGTTGCAGGTCAAAGAGATGATGAAAGATACCACAGAATAAAATATTAAAGTTCAATATTAATATTAAACTTTAAATGTATTAAGTATAAATAATAATGTTATTAAGTAATATTAATTTTAAATGGTAAGTACTGGCTGATGATTTCCTAATTCTGCTGGTTGAGGGATGCTACATGCTCTGAAGTACAGACACAAAAGCAGACACTGATACTGGAATAGGTGAACTTCTCCATAAATAATGTCAGTAGGAGAACTGGGATGGGAAGAGCAGGGCTGACCTCTCTGCACCGTCCCTGGCACAGGTACGAGACCGAGTGTGGGCTCCGGCAGAACGTGGAGGCCGATCTCAACAGCCTGAGGCCCCTCTTGGACAGCCTGACCCTGTGCAGGTCCGACCTGGAAATGCAGTTCGAGTCTCTGAAGGAGGAGATGATCGATGTCAAGAAGAACCACGAGGAGGTAAGAGCAGAAAAGCAACAAAACCCCACAAACTGGAGGTGCTGCAGGGGAAACCTCGGCACGAGATACCCACCGAGGGGCAGGGCCAGGCTGTGCCAGGGGGGGCCCTGAGCTCAGCCCCTCAACAAGCAATGACTGGAAGTCAAGGCCAAATAATTGCAACACAACTCCCCCCAATATATATATATATATATATGTATGCTGTTGAAAGGCTCCGTTTGTGTTCATTGTCCTGGGCCTGGCTTTTCTCTGCAGGAAATAAAACAGCTGCAATCCCAGTCCAGCGGGGATGTGAGTGTGAAGGTCAACGCTGCTCCAGGAGAGGATCTGCTGAAAAAGCTCAATGAGATGAGACAAGAATATGAAGCCATTATTCAGAAGAACCATGCAGAGGTTGAAAAGTGGTATGAAAGCAAGGTAAAGGGTGACAGTTGGAATGTTCATGTTAAAAAGGAAAACACCAGCCCCTGTAGAGGAAGGACACAGCATCCGTTGCTATTGGGAAATAATGGTAGAATCCCTTTGACCAAAATGAAGGAAATCACAAGTGGGCTTGAACTGCTCTGGCACAGCCACACGAGGAAGTGTAACAGCCCCATATTACCAGTGGCCCTTCTGCAACTTTGAGTTTTCACCTGAGTTGTTTGGTGCTGCCACTCTGAGCTGTGGCTCCAAGCAGGCCCCAAAAAACTGTTCCAGCTGGTCCCATGATAAACTGCCATGTTGACATTGTAAGTAAAAGTCAGAAACTCCAGTTCTGTACATTAATTTTTCAGATGGAGGAAGTGAGCCAACAAGTCCACTCAAGTGGCCAGGAGGTGGAATCAAGCAACCGGCAGATCTCTGAGCTGAGACGTGAATATCAGAGCCTGGAGATTGAGCTGCAGTCGCAGCTCAGCATGGTAGGTAACAAGTGCTCCTGATCCTTGGATTTGCAAAGAACCCAGGGGTTGCTGGGATGACAGGAGGGCGGCTGTAGCTGGCACAACAGTCAATGAAGATGCTGGGTGCCTCTGACACCATGTGAGATCTGTCCCATGTGGGGCACAAGAACGCTCTGATCCTGCCACATTCCCACCAACGCCGCATTTTGTTTGGCCCTTGCAGGTCGACTCTTTGCAGTCCAACCTGGAGGACACGGAACGTCGCTATAACATGCAGCTGCAGCAGATCCAGTGCATGATCAGCCCCTTGGAGGAGGAGCTGGCCAGCATCCGCTGCGAGATGGAGAGCCAGAACGAGGAGTACAAGATGCTGCTGGGCATCAAGACCCGCCTGGAGCAGGAGATCCAGCAGTACCGGGTGCTGCTGGAGGAGGGGCAGCAGGACCTTGTGTATGTACTCTGAGAGAGCACAGCACTGTCATCAGTCACAGGCAGCAAACAAACAGTGGGGATTTGCAGATCAGATTTGGTGCTGAAATGGGGCTGATGCAGCTGCTCTTGGCCAATCGCCTCCTGGGATTGAGGGGTTTCATTCTGTTCAGAACATAACTCGTGAGGAAAAATCAGTGAGAAATTCTGAACTACCGATTTGGGGCTGGGCAGGGAAACCCCCACACAGAGCCTTCCCTTTACCCTGGTTCCAGGGTAGCCAGGAGCTGAACAGGCAGGAGTCACTTTGGAAAAGACCGTAAGGAAAGAAAATGACCACAGTTTTCCAAACTTTCATAAAAGTCTCTGGAAGTTCAGGCTGATTCAGCTTCCTTTCTGCAGTGCCTGAAAGAGCAGCTAAAGCTTCATTCTCTGCTTTCCAATTTTGAGCCATACACTGATAAAGCAGCAGTGCCAAATATTTCAAGAAGTCTCCTGGCAGAACGTGGGAAAAACAAAAGCTCTTGAATTCAAGCTGACATTGAAAGAGAGGCTGATTTTTTGGCACTGCCTCAGTTGTCTTGCTGCTGTGCTGGGCTCTAACCAGAGGTACAGCCCAGAGCAGTGCCAGCTCCTGGGCAGCAGCTGTACCTCGATTGCCTTCAGAGATCAAAATGCTTTTGATTAACTTTTTTTTCCCCCTTCTTTCTCTCTCTTTGCAGAATCCCTTCAGGAGGAATTGGAGGAGGCATGGGAGGTGGTAGAATAGGAGGTGGTGGCTATTCTGGAGGAGGAAGAGGAGGAGGTGGTAGCATAAGTGGTGGATATGGTGGTGGTGGCAGTGGAATAGGAGGAGGAATCGGAGGAGGAAGTGGTGGAGGAGGAATCGGAGGAGGAAGTGGAGGAATAGGAGGAGGAAGTGGAGGAATAGGAGGAGGAAGTGGAGGAATAGGAGGGGGAAGTGGAGGAATAGGAGGGGGAAGCGGAGGTGGATGCAGTAGCATTGGAGGAGGAGGAGGAGGAGGAAGAGCCTCAGGAGGCATCAGCAGTTCCCACTCCTACTCTTCATCTTCCCAGTCCCAGTCCTGCAGGAGTGGCGGTGAAAGCCAAGGTGAGAACTGTGCTTTGGGCATACTGTCCTCTCAGTCCCACCCTGACTCATTTATGCACTTATAAATGTTATACCAACGTACTCTTCCAGAGCCAAACAGTACTGAGGACAAACTAAAGTCTCTGAGAAGTGTGAGATTCACTGTTGTTAGCAATTCTTTCCTCTTTGTGTGCAAAGTCCATCTCTGTTCCATTTTGTGGGTGACATCAGCTGACCCTGTAGTTTAATAACCCCAGCTGGTTTTCTTCATCCCTCTCATTCTTTGCAGACCCTCATAAATCTCACGGCCTTTGTGCCATACTGGAGTTTTCCTTTGTGCTTTTGGAATGCTTCTGGTCGCTCCCACACAATCCTCATGTCTGGGGGACACTGGTGGCTCAGGGGTTCAGTGCCAGCACTGACATTCACACTTGCTTTGTCTCTAAACAGGCTATGGAAGAAAATCTTTTGATTAAGAATATACACCAAGGATCCTCCAGTGCAAGACCCTTCAAACAGAAACGCCCGAATCCGCTGCATTCCCCGTGCTCCTGAGGAAGGAAGATGCTCTGAGCAGTTCCTGGGAGTTGCAGATGCCACCTCTCCCCTGCCCTGCATGCTCTGTGCTGCTTCTGCCCGCGATGCTCCGCGGCCCCGGTCACTGGCACTGCAACTGCTGCTTCACAGACCCAACCTGGCCGGTACTCGGGTTGTTCTGAATCAGGAAAATGTCTCTAATAAAATTTCATTTCTGTCTGATGCAACCAGAATCCTGTGTGGGGTTTTTCTTCCACTCTGTAGGGTGAAAACACTTAAAAAAGAAAACACAAAGCCATGCCAAGACATGCTTCCAGGCAGAGAGGTTGACGATACACTCCAGTAGCTGATAATGATATTTAGAGTTAAAGCACAATTTCTGAGCAGTCAGGGCAGATCAGAATCTTCTTGGAGCAACTTGGGCTGTGCTTTTGTTTTTTAATAATGTGCCAGATACTCTCGTGAGCTGAGCTCTGAGACCCAACAGACAAATATCAGCCCAGAATGGGATAACAGAGCTAAGGGTGAACACAACTGCACAACCGCAGCCAGAGAGGGGAAGGAGCTTATTTCTTCTCCTGTAATATGGAATCTCTTCCTAGAATGCTCCCAGGTTGAACCCATCCTGCCTTTCTGTGGATAACCTGATTTTGAGGTGGCAGTTCACAGCAGGCCCCACCAGCTCCTTGTGCTTCCCTTCACAGCCCAGCGACTCGTCTGCAGGAGCCGCAGAGCTGACATTTAACACACAGCTGGAAACCTGGGGGTTTGTTTCCATGCAAGGCTTTGCTCAGCTTCCCAGCAGCTTGATTAGTAAAGGTGGAAAAAGCAGTTCACTGCACATCCCCTATTGCACAGGCAGTGGAAAAAAGTACACAAGTGTTTCTGACTCTGCTGGGTGGTGCAAGATGTTCTGTCATGGTTGCAAAACACCCTTCACTGTAACAAGCTCAGGTAATGGTTATATTTTGTCAGATCTAATCTTGGGCACTTTTCATCAAAAATTATTTTTTCACCATATTATATAATTCAGGGACTTATTCTGAGAAATGACTATTTTAATATGGTTATGAAAATGCACAAAGTCAAATATTTCTCCTCTCAATTTCCTCAGAGTCCATTTAAAACACTTTAAAAAAAATTAAGAGCTCTTTGATAGGAAAAGATTTAGTATGCTTTCCCTCACACAATACTACTTTTGTGGCTGTCACCTGGTTTTCTTCAAGAAGAAAAAGGACTGTGATTCCCATCCTGCACATTCAGAGAAAGCTGAATGCCAGCAGGACCTTTGTCAGTACAAGCAGTGACAAGAGAGTGAAAAATTCACAGTGAAGTTCTCCTCTAAAACAGACATGGGAAAGCAGTTTTAAAAGTTTTTATTTCAGGGAATTAAAGAAGATTTCTAAATAGCTAATGCATATTTGAAATAAATCAGGAATGAAGACTCCCTTGGACGTTGTGATCACAGGAGGATGACCAAAGCTGAACTACTGAGTTTCACCACACAGAAAGCTGAAGGAGGCAGACAACAAGGCACAGCCTTTTTTAGCTCCCATTGACAGATTGACAGAGCTGGGAGATATTCTATTTTTCAACAAAATATCCAACGAGGAGCCACCCACATAAAATTATAGTGCAGCTTGATGTGAATCAACACAGACATACTTGCACCGAATGGTAATGCCTTTTACTTACCTCAGACTAGATTCCCTTAGCACATCATTTTTTGGCACAAGCACTGGGGCTGGCAAAGCCCATGGGAAGCTGGACTGCCTGGCAGGTGACACCCACCCAGCCAGGTATAAAGAGCCACCGGCGAGGACGCCCCACTGCACTTGCCTTCCCTGTCTCTCGCTGTGCACAGCTTTGCTACTGGGGCTGGATATCTGATCCCTTCCACCATGAGCTGCAGCATCAAGAGAACATCCAGCACCTCGTACCGGAGTGGAGGAGGAGGAGGCGGCTGTGGAGGCAGCAGCGGCCGGAGCTCCTCGGTGTCCTGCCGGCGCTACGCCTCCTCCGTGGTCGGCGGGGGCAGCTACGGCGGGGCAGCGTGCGGGGGCTACGGGGGCGGCCTGAGCGGGGCCGGCCTGGCCGGGGGCTACGGGGGGGCCTTTTCGGGGGGCTTCTGTGCGGGGGGGGACCTGCTCCTGGGCGGCAATGAGAAGGTCACCATGCAGAACCTCAACGACCGCCTGGCCAGTTACCTGGACAAGGTGCGAAGGCTGGAGGAGGAGAACGCTCAGTTCGAGCACCACATCCGCGAGTGGTACAGGAAACAAGCTCCCAGCGTTTCCAAGGACTACAGCTCCTACTACCAGACCATTGAACAACTCCAGAATCAGGTAGGATGGCCCCAGCTAGCGTGGCTCCATCACCACATGCTTTTCTCTCCTGTGAGGTCTTCCTCCTCCCTCCTTCCTCTTTCCTGAAATCCCACGCTGTGCAGGTGGGTCAAACCAGCCATGGGTGGTTTCCAGTGCTTCCCTCTGCTCCCACTCGGTTCAGCTGGATGGAGTGCAAAGCCACAGCACCTGGATGGCAGGATCTGAGCTCCCTTTGTCCCTGCATACTCCTACAGACACCAGGTGGAGGACTGAGGTCTTGCCTTATGATAGGTTTACATGGTACCAAGAAAACAGAATAATGGACCAGGAAGAAGCATGATACAGGGAAAGGGCTGAACACACTCCCTGGGACACACAGGGAACTGTCTCTAACTGGAGAGGAGGAAGTAAAGAGCAGGGATTTGGGAGGATGTGTGATAGCACAAGTTTCCTTGAAAAGTAAATTTGGAGCATCACTCTCGCACATGGTCCCTGCATTAATGCAGGAAGCAATTCCAAGACCCACAACAAAACCCTGCCAAAGCTTTGGGTCTTCTTTCTACCTTCCGGTTTTGCAGATCATTTCTGCCACTGTGGACAACAACAGGCTGCTGCTGGACATTGACAACAGCAAGATGACTGCCGAGGACTTCCGAATGAAGTGAGTACCTCCCTGTGAACCTCGTGTGCCTGTCCAATCCTGCTCAGCATCTCAGGAGACAAGGCAGCAATGCCCTGGGTGGTGTTACTGACTCCTCCAGTGTAACTGGGATACTGGCCTTGGAAGGATGTGTGCTAGTGACTGTCAGCATCTCATTTACCCATTTTTCTGACTCTCTTGTGTGACACAGGTATGAGAATGAGCTGGTCATCCGTCAGACCGTGGAGGCTGACATCAATGGCTTGAGAAATCTCATGGATGACCTGACTCTGGTTAGATCTTCCTTGGAATCTGAGCTGGAGTCCTTGAAGGATGAGCTGATTGCCCTGAAGAGAAACCATGAGGAGGTACGATCCAATGACAAACAGCACAGCCAAGGCACCACCCTTGGATTCTTCAGCTTCCCACCCTCACACATGGAGTCAATTCCACCTTAGGCCAAGGGATTGTCGCTCCTTTTTTACCTTGATACTGCTTTGCCCACAGTCTCCAGCACAAGAAATGACCTGTGTGTGCTCTTGTGTCTCTGTCTGGACTCCCTGCAGGAAATGAGGCAGCTCCAGTCTCAGACTGGTGGGGATGTGAGTGTGGAGGTCAATGCTGCCCCTGGAGAGGACTTGACAAAGATCCTGAATGACCTGAGAACTGAATACGAGCAGATCATCGACAGGAACCGCAGGGAGGTGGAGCAGTGGTATGAAGTCAAGGTAGGTAGCAATGCCCAGAGTGGAGTCCCCTCCGGTGGCACAGCCCAGGCACGCGGGCACCGGGACAGGAGGAAAGGGAGAGGCTCCCTGCAGAGCTGAGCTCTCCCTCAGCAAACCTGCTCCCCCAGGGGATGCTGTGGCTCAGAAGGTGTCCCTGGCTTTGCCCCCGCAGATCGAAGAAGTCAATCGCCAGGTCACCTCCAGCAGCCAGGACATGCAGAGCAGCAGCCACCAGCTCACGGAGCTGCGGCGCGAGATGCAGAACCTGGAGATCGAGCTGCAGGCGCAGCTCAGCACGGTACGTGGGCAGGGGCTGGGCCTGCCCTGCTGGGGCTGGGCACGCAGCACCACAGCTCCCCTCCTCAACTCCTGTCTTTGCCCTTCCAGAAAAACTCTCTGGAGAACTCCTTGGCAGAAACCGAGACTCGCTACGGCTGCCTGCTGCAACAGATCCAGGCGCAGATCCACTCCGTGGAGGAGGAGCTGGCCAGCATCCGCTGTGAGATGGAGGGTCAGAGCCAGGAGTACAAGATGCTGCTGGGCATCAAGACCCGCCTGGAGCAGGAGATCCAGCAGTACCGGGCACTGCTGCAGGAGGGGCAGCAGGACCTTGTGTATGTATTCCATATTGTAGCAAGGGAATAGCAAGAAATCCTTGTGTACTTATTTGCCAACAGAGACTTCTCGTCCCTGGAGCATCAACATCTTTTTTGACTGAATATCCGGTGTTACTGGGTTTTTCTGAATTGATTACTCTCCTTTTGCAGTGCCTCCCAAGGTGCTTTCCAAGGAGGTGGAAAATCCTCCCAGTCATATTCTGCTTCCTACTCCCATTCCCAGTGTGGGGACATGGCAGGTAAGACAACGTTTTGTAAGGATGTGGTTATTAGTGGGTTACATCTGCCCCCAATGGCTGCAATGTAGTTTGTAAGAAAAAAGATTTGTAGTTTGGGCTGGGCAAGATTCCCAGATCCATTAACCTGGGAGTGAGAGAACCTCAGTACTCTGTTATGGAGGAATCAGGCATTAAATACAGCAACTTTTGCCCTTCCCTCTACCTAATTATAAAATATAGACCATAAACTTTACGAGATGGGTTATGCTTTTTTGCTCATCGGAATAATAAAAAAATACAGTTCTGAGAAAGTGCTCAGGGCGCTGCTGGCACGGAGCCTCTGCCCCTGTGCTGCTGACACAGTGTCAGGTGTGAGGATTCCCTCAGCAGGAATGCTCAGATTTCCCCTCAAGACGATGATTTGCTCGGTGTTCACACAGGGCAGTCAAGAGTCTGTTAGAGCAGCGGCAGCGACCCCGACAGCGTCCAGCGAGAGACGGACCCCGGCACTTGTGCAGCACGGCCGGGGCAGCGGGAAGGGCTCGGGACCGGAGCCTGCTCACCTGCCCCAGCCCCCCGTCCCCCGCCCTGCAGTGCTTGGCTTCCTCACCTTGTCTGTGGCAACTGCTTCTTTGTTTAAGGGCTCACACTCTGCTCGAAACTCTTCTCTAATAAACCTTTACGTCTGCAACGCA